GTGTGTGTCTGTATGTGTGTGTGCCCACACGCTGACTGTGTCTGTGTCTGTGTGTGTCTGTGTATGTGCCCACACGCTGTCTGTGTCTGTGTGTGTCTGTATGTGTGTGTTCCCACACGCTGTCTGTGTCTGTGTCTGTGTGTGTCTGTGTATGTGCCCACACGCTGACTGTGTCTGTGTCTGTGTGTGTGCCCACACGCTGACTGTGTCTGTGTGTATTGTCTGTGTCTGTGTGTGTGTGTGTGTGTGTCTGTCTGTGTGTACTGTCTGTGTGTGCGCGCGCTCATCTGTTGTGTGTGTGCCTGTGCTGTCTGTGTGTGTGGATTACTGACGGAATATGCTTTGCTTCTCTCCATTTGCCAGGTTCTGCAGTTGGTTCCAATGGGCCGCCTGGGAGACCCGACTGGTGAGTGAGACCCTTCTCAGTCCCTGATATTGTTGTGTGCGGCAGATGTAGGGGAGGGAAGGCTGACCACCCGTCTTGGATACTGAGGGTCTCAACTCAATCCTTCAATCCCTCTGTGCCCGTGTCCATCCCCGTATCTGTGACAGCCACCATCCTACAGAGATCCTTACCCGGTGCCCCTGCAGTTCGGCCCTGGCACATGTTCCCAGCATGTTTCTGTGTATTCGTGTAATTGGAGCGTACGCTGTGGGGCTGCTTCCTCACATTCCCTAGCTTGCTGTCCTGTGTGTGTGTGTGTGTGTGTGTGTGTGGCGGGGGAGTGTGTGTGTGTGTGTGTGAGAGTGTGTGTGTGTGTATGTGAGAGTGTGTGTGTATGTATGTGTGTATGTGAGAGAGTGTGTGTGTGTATGTGTGAGTGTGTGTGTGTGTGTGAGTGTATATGTGTGTGTGCGTCTGTGTGTGTGTATGTGTGTGTATGTGAGTGTGTGTTTTCTCCTTGGAGTCGGAACTGGCTTGTTGACGCTCCTGTGCGGCGCCTTGGGGAGTTTTACCGGTTTGATGGGAGCTACATAAATGCAGACCGTTGTTGATGCCGTCGACCTAGTGGAGCGCAGAAGGGAGCTGTTTGGCCCATCTTGGCCGTGCCCACCCGGAAGGCACACGGATGCCCTCTCGAATCCCACAGTCCTGCCCATGGCCTATAGTCCTGCAGCCTGTATGGTGCAGGTAAGGTGCCGTGGTTATTGATCATACCTGCTGCCCCGGGGAGCGATGTGCAAGCGTGTTCTGTGTTTCCCTCCCCCCAACCCCACTGAATATTTGAAGGCAGATTTCCATTTACTCAGTGCTGGCCTATCCACTGTATGGCCCAGTGGGTTGGGCTGAGGGGTGTGTGTGGTGTAGACACTGCCCTGTCTTTCTTCTCTGTGTAACCTCCGTAAAAGTAAGCGACAGACATTTGAGATGTCCAACAGCCGTGAAGAGTGTGCGCTAAATGCAGGTCGTCTCTTCTGCGCGGTGCCTGTTCATACAGCTGCTGTTGTAATTACACACAGTACAGTCGGTGTTCAGGGAGTGTTGGGGGGTGGAGGTGCTGCTTGACCTTACGCTGGTCTCTGACCGTCTGTGTCTCTCTGCAGAGGTGGCCAGTGTCTGTACCTTCTTGGCATCTGACGAGAGCAGCTACATCACTGGAGCCAGCCTGGAGGTGACAGGTGAGAGACTCAGCCTGGGTCCTGGCCCGCACCACCAAGAGCTTCTGGTCGGAACCGTAGTCGTACAGCATGCAAACAGGCCCTTCTGCCCAACTCACCCATGCTGACCTAGTCCCATTTGCCAGCATTTTGCCCCATATCCCTCTGAACCCTTCCTATTCATGTCCCCATCCAGATGCCTTTTAAATGTTGCACAAAAACAAAGTTGCTGGAAAAGCTCAGCAGGTCTGGCAGCATCTGTGGAGGAGAAAACAGAGTTAACGTTTCAGGCCCAGTGACCCTTCCTCAGAACTGATGGTGGCTGGGAAAATGTCAGTTTATATGCAGAAAATAGGAAGGTGGATGGGGTAGGGAGTAAACGATAGGATAGAGCCCAAAGAGAGAGAAAGACAGTTGGACAGACAAAGGAGTTGCTAATGATCAGGCTCGGAGGGTGAACAGTTGTTAATGGGACCTGTTAGTGACTAACAACAGGGGCTGTGTAGTGGCAGGCTATGTGGTAACAAGGCCTGGTGTGTGGGGTAGGGGGCTGGTACATGGGAGAGCTTAGGCCCTAAAATTATTGAACTCAATATTGAGTCCGGAGGGCTGTAGGGTCCCCAAGCGGAAAATGAAGTGTTGTTCCTCCAGCTTGCGTTGGGTTTCACTGGAACACTGCAGCAAGCCGGAGACAGAGATGTTGGCCAGGGAGCAGGGTGCCGTACTCCTCCCCACAGCCCTACGGCATCTTCCCTGTAACCGGCGAAGGTGCAACACCTGCCCATTTACTTCCTCCCTTCCCACTATCCAAGGGCCCAAACATACCTTCCAGGTGAAACAACACTTCACCTGCACTTCCCAGAATCTAGTCTACTGCATTCACTGCTCACAATGTGGTCTCCTCTACACTGGGGAAATGAAGCATAGACTTGGCGATCACTTCGCAGAACATCTACTCACAAAAAAGACCCTGAACTACCTGTTGCCTGCCACTTCAACGCACCACCCTGTTCCCTGGCCAATATCTCTGTCTCTGGCTTGCTACAGTGTTCCAGTGACGCCCAACGCAAGCTGGAGGAACAACACCTCATTTTCCGCTTGGGGACCCTACAGCCCTCTGGACTCAACATTGAGTTCAATAATTTTAGGGCCTAAACTCTCCCATGTCCCAGCCCCCCCACCCCACACACCAGGCCTTGTTACCACATAGCCTGCCACTACACACCCCCTGTTGTTAGTCACTAACAGTCCGCATTAACAACTACTCACCCTCCGAGCCTGATCATTAGCAACTCCTTTGTCTGTCCAACTGTCTTTCTCTCTCTTTGGGCTCTATCCTATCGTTTACTCCCTACCCCATCCACCTTCCTATTTTCTGCATATAAACTGACATTTTCCCAGCCACCATCAGATCTGAGGAAGTGTCACCGGACCCAAAACGTTAACTCTGTTTTCTCCTCCACAGATGCTGCCAGACCTGCTGAGCTTTTCCAGCAACTTTGTTTTTGTACAACATTTAAAAGGCATCTGGATGGGGACGTGAATAGGAAGGGTTCAGAGGGATATGGGGCAAAATGCTGGCAAATGGGATTTACAGCATCCGCAGTTCTTTTGGTTTTTAAATGTTGTAATTGTACCAGCCTCCACCTCTTCCTCAGACAGCTCATTCCATACACGCACCACCCTCTGTGTGAAAATGTTATCCCTCAGTTCCCTTTTAAATCTTTCCTCTCTCACCTAAACCTATGCCCTCTAGTTTTGGACTCCCTAGGGATAAGACCTTGGCTATTCACTCTCTATACCTCTCGTGATTTTGTAAACCTCTGTAAGGTCACCCCTCAGCCTCCTACACTGCAGGGGAAAAAGTCCCCAGCCTCTCTGTATAATTCAAATCCTCCAGCCTCGGTAACATCCTTGTAAATCTTTTCTTGCACCCTTTCCAGTTTTAGTAACATCCCTTCTATAGCAGGGGGATTGTACACAGTACTCAAAATGTGGCCTTACCAATGTCAGCTGTAACCTGACACCCCCAACCCCTGTACTCAAATCTCAAACTCACTCATGTGCCTCATGGCTGGGCCTTTACAGCTCTCTACAGGAGCTGCAGCAGTGCTGTAACTGCTTTGACACTGGCTCTCCTTCCTCTGAAGGGACCCATCTCAGCAAAAGTGACCATTCCTACAGGGGAATCTAAGCACCCAAGCGTCCATTGGCAGCTCTCCACTGGACCAACACCCAACAGACCCAAACAGCGAACAGTATCGGTCAGTGCATTGGGTACAGGAGTTGGGACATCATGTTGCGGCTGTACAGGACATTGGTCAGAGATAGTAGGAACTGCAGATGCTGGAGAATCTGAGATAACAAGGTGTAGAGCTGGGTGAACACAGCAGGCTCCTCTGATGCTGCTTGGCCTGCTGTGTTCATCCAGCTCTACACCTTGTTATCTCAGGACATTGGTCAGGCCACTTTATGAATGCTGCATGCAATTCTGGTCTCCCCGTACAGGAATGATATTGTTAAACGTGAAAGGGTTCAGAAAAGATTGACAAAGATGTTGCCGGGGTTGGAGGGTTTGAGCTATAGGGAGACACTGAACGGGCTGGGGCTATTTTCCCTGCAGCATTGGAGGCTGAGGGGTGACCTTATTGAGGTTGATAAAGTCATGAGGGGTATGGATAGGGGTAAATAGTCAAGGTCTTTTCCCCAGGTTAGGGGAGTCCAAAACTAGAGGGGCATAGGTTTAAGGTGAGAGAGGAAAGATTTAAAAGGGACCTGAGGGACAACTTCTTCACACAGAGGGTGGTGTGTGTATGGAATGAGCTGCCAGAGGAAGAGGTGGAGGCTGGTACAATTACAGCATTTAAAATGCATCTGGATGGGCACATGAATAGGAAGGGTTTAAGAGGGATATGGGCCAAATGCTGGCAAATGGGACTAGACTAATTTAGGATATCTGGCCAGCATGGACGATTTGGACCGTAGGGTCTGTTTCCGTGCTGTATAACTCTATGGCACTGTGACTATCTGTGTACTGTCCCATCGGCCACCTACAGGTTGTCAGAGTGTGAGTTATATCCTTATCCTGTTTTTAATGAGGGTTGGTTTGTAAATGGCGCGAATCCAGACTTTTGATGAAAGTGGCACTTGTAATGTGGAGAAAGGCAGAGACAGAATTTCAGTGCCGCAGACTGGGCGGTATAGAGAATGTACCCATTGACATAAAACAGAGTGAGGCAGCATTGAGCTTTAAGGTTTCCAGATGTTTGTAGGTGACAGACAGCTGAGGCAGTCTGTAACCACAACCCACCAGGTACATGGAGAGTGATTTCCGATCCAGTGCAGGCTGGTGCTTACCGCAGCAAGAATTGCTGGAGAAATTCAGCAGGTCTGGCAGCATCTGTGGAGGGAAAGCAGGGTCCAGTGACCCTTGGTCAGAACTGGCAGTGGCTGGAGAAAGGTTGTATAAATGCTGAAGGGAATCGCGCAGAAACTCCAGGGCGGCACGGTGGTTAGCACTGCTGCCTCACAGCGCCAGGGACCCGGGTTCGATTCCACCCTCGGGCAACTGTCTGTGCAGAGTTTGCACGTTCTCCCCATGTCTGCGTGGGTTTCCTCCCACAATCCAAAGACGTGCAGGTTAGGGTGGGTTGGCCATGTCCCATAGTGTTCAGGGATGTGCAGGCTGGGTGGGTTGGCAATGGGGGATGCAGGGTTACAGGGATAGGGTGGGGTTGCTCTTTGGAGGGTCGGTTTTGGACTCAATGGGCTGAATGGCCTGCTTCCCCACTGTAGGGGATTCTGTGA